TCACTGGAGTTCACACAAAGTGATAACTATTGAAAAAATATATTGATTTTTTTCTTCGACTGTCATTTATATCAAATGGCAGGCGTTTTGATAGTTGTCGTTAGCCCTGGAGCTGATTTCGGGGCTTCACAGAGAGGAGGAGGAACTTCAAAGTGACAAAAAGTCGAGAGGGGGAACAGAAGAGTGATTCACAGTTGTAAAAGAGACAGGCAGACAGACAGACACAAAGGAAAAAGGGAAGATGAGTACTTTGGAAGGGGTCGAATATGACAAATAGTCGGGCCATAGTAGTAAGATGAGTACTGTGAAGGGGTCGAATATGACAAATAGTCGGGCCATAGTAGTTTGAATTCGAGAAGTCAACTGGCGATCAATAGACTTTTTTGCCGTATAATCTGTGGAAGGGGTCGAATATGACAAATAGTCGGGCCATAGTAGTTTGAAGTCAGAATTCAACGGCCGATCAGTAGACTTTTTTGCCGTATGCGTATACGTTGCCCAGGGTGCACCACGTGGAGGTAAGTCTATTGTGCACCCCTCTCCGACTGTCATTGTATTCATTGAGCGAATAAGATAGAAATGTAGTCTATCGATAGAAAAAGCTAGAGCTTTGGAGTTTCACCGTAGTACAACTTAATCATACTCAAACAATTTTCCCCTCCAAATGTTCTTAGAACCTCAACAGAAACGAAAGACGGTAAAAAAAGGCGAATCCATAGGAGGAATGCTTACCAGAAAGTTACACAAGTTGCAAGGAGAGGGAGATAGAGAGTGAAACTCAGTTTGGAGGCATTAAATATTTTTGAAAAATCGTTAATAACTTCAGGAGAATTGGTTTGAAATTCAATATTTTGTAGGCAGAAAGGTGACATGTTTAGTCAACTATGTGGACAAAGACTATTTAACTGTTGGCATGCTGAAGTCAATTTCACAACTATGCCTAATTTGTGGAGAGACTCTAGGAGTTCATTTTCCTTACTTCCCGAGTCCTTTTCATGTTCTTCTAGCGATAAATTTTTAATATTATTGGTTTAACAGTCAAGCTTATTGTCGGCGAAATTGAGTGACCCCTTTTGAAGTCTCTCTAAGCTTTTTTTCATATTTCCATCTCTTTTAGCTAAGTGAACATGTGCGTGAAATTTTATTAACGCGCTTATTTTATGATTGGCGATTCCCAAGGACGGTTGCTATGACAATGGAAACTTCAATGATTCATCAGGGTTCGAATAAGGTTTTTAGGTGGATTAAATTTGCCAATGGTTGACAATGAAGTAGTTCATGAACCGGTCACTCAACAAGTAACCGTGCCTTTTAGTTATTTTTTCAAATGGCAGGCTTTATGATATTTATCATTAGCCCTTAATCTTTGACTTCAGCTTCCCCCAAGAGGGGGGGGGGTACATTTATAGCAGATAATTAATAGCAGTTCATTAGCTGTCTTCTTGCTTCACAATATCTCTGGCTTTCCGTCGTTGTCTTTAGGGCTGGACACCGAATCATTTGGGTCTTCTCCATTTCCTCCTGTAGGTTACATAGGGGGCATGTGGGTTGAGTGTATACTTCCAATCTGTGAAGGTGTTTTGCCAAGCAATAGTGTACTTAGTCTAAACTCCTGATTAAGGCCTTCATTGTGTGGAAAGACATCGGCCTTGATTAAGGTCTTCATTGTGTGGAAAGACATCGGCCGGTCTTCGTTGTCCCCTTCTTAGCAAGTGTGTCAGCAATTTCATTTCCTTTAATGCCACAGTGACCAGGAATCCATTGTAGAACCACTGTTTTGTTTTTCTCTCCCAGCAGCTCATAGCGTTTTACCACTGTTTTGTTTTCTCTCTCAGCAGCTTGTCGGACCACTGTTTTGTTTTTCTCTCTCAGCAGCTCATAGAGAACCACTGTTTTGTTTTTCTCTCTCAGCAGTTGATAGAGTTTTTTACATTCGTATATCTCAGCTGTTTTTGGGTGGCTCTTGGCATCCTATTGAGTTTATTGCTGACTGTGAGTCCGAAAGTATCCCGAATTGAGTTTATGCTGACTGTGAGTCCGAAAGTATCACCGCTTGAGTTTCTCGCTGACTGTGAGTCCAAAAGTATCACCGCTTTGGTGAATTTCGTATCCAGGCAACATAATTGTCATGGTGCTATCCTAATGGCCTCTATTTCTCCTTCAAAAGCGAGTGCTCTCCTGATGGTCTCTCTTTCTCCTTCAAAAGCGGATCTATTGTGTCCCGCTCCTATTTCTCCTTCGAAAGTGGACCTATTATGTGCCGCTGCGCCTTTTAGTTATTATCGACGGTTAACGGAAACTTTTTTCTGTTTTTACTGCTACCCATAGGTAGGACTTCTCCATACGCCTTCAAGATAAGATTTAAACGTCAATTATTCGATATTCACAATTAAATCTGCTAGAGTTGACTTGCACCTGTTAAGTGACAGGAATGACATTATCAACTTGGTGCATGTTTTTATGCATTTAGCTGGTTGCCTATTGAGGGCATTTGGACTTTTTTTCGATTCAGAAATAGAAGGAACTAAGGCACCTATCACGAATGATACTTCGAAATTGAAATGGCTTTATAACAATGGGGGGAGGGGACTAAAATAGGTGTGTTCGATCCAAATTTTATTTAAAAAAATAAAGTACCCGATCATTTCCTAAAGACAATCAAAACGAATATGAAATCAGGTGCTTTCAAATTTTAAAACAATGGTAAAATTTGTTTTAAAATATTTATCATACAAATCCTGAATAAACGCTATTTTCATGGAAGCTTTATGACTTCAAAGTGTAACTTTTCGAGAAAGCGGTTTCAGATCGCGAAGCTTTCATTCTCACATAATGTGACCAATGTTATGAATAAATTGATGGCGTGACATCGTAAACACGCAGGAGAAGGATTGTTCAAGACTAGTGGACGATGTACATCGTCACTTGGTGGCCATCTCTGTTCTGCTCATTATTTTCTGAAACCTTGTTACTTGGTCTAATAAAAGTACGCAAATGAAATGTTATAAGAACTGGGCCTTGTTTGACCTTCATTTGCCATTCGTAATGGTCACCTGACATCTCACTCATGCCTTCTTTTTCACTTACATCTTAATAAGTTTTGTCATAAACTCTCCGTCTAATAGTGTAAAGGTGTGACCTTTCATTACTCAATACTTGCACTCATCAAATCGTGGGGCGGCATTCGAGTAGGCGGCTTCTCAAAAAAAAACTGAGAGCACTCCCATGAAAGAACTCACACTAGTAAGGCAGATCAAAATTTGACCGCACCTAGCTGTTTTGCATAATTGACTCTCATTTGTCGAGAAAATGCAGTAGTTTAAAGGATTTGAACAAGGTGACGGCACTGTTGCTCACTCCACCGCGAAAAAGACAGAAAGAAGGCAGAGAACTGAAGTGGAATAGTGAGCCATGTGCGTGGGTGGGGGTGGGGGTGGGGTGGTGTAATTGATAAACAAAACGGACGAAGTTACGTATGCTGTAGTAGAAAATTTGGAATAAAATCAATAATCAAATCAACGGCGTTATTGTCTATTATTTACTCGTCTTTTGATGTGGGCTACATCATTGCCAGTACTTTTTATGTGTGTATGTGGGGGGGGGGGGGGAATTCGCGTTGAATGCAACGTTTCGTTTCGGCATATTCATCTCATATCTTTGCTGTCATTTTGGCATACTTTTGCGGGCGGTAACTAATATCAACCTGGTGTTGGTGATCAAATGCTGGCATAAAATATGAAGGGAATAAACTGGAACCACATTTTCGTTACTATTGTATGAACACTAGTTAACACTGGCCAGGAGAAGGGAAGAGGGGGGGGGGGAGAGGTGGGTTATTTGGTTCTGTTGAGAAAAACACAACTGTCCTATTTATGTCATTGTTATCATGCAAATCATAGTGTCTTATTACGAAATAGTGGGTTGTTACTAACTAAACGGCTGTCTTCTATTACTTACTCTACCAAACTACAATACATAACTTATAGCGAAAATATTTTGTTCTGCACACATTAAGAGAGGTGTTAATGTTACTTGTTTGGTTGGTTGGGGAAAGGTAACCTGGGAGCACTCTTTTGAGAAATTCTCACTTTATCACCGTTCTTCTTCTTCGTTGTTAGCCCACCTCATCACTGGATCCACAATTCTGACCACTGGCCACGTGGCCTCTCTTTTCTCATCTGTAATAATTATTTTCAAATTTTATTACAATTCTTTTTATTTCGGATCCATGTAGTAGCTAGTATGATGTTGGGGGGAGGGGGGGGGGGGTAATTGAATGGAAATTTCCTTTAGATGGTACCGGGGGTGATCTAATTTGGGGACTTTTTTGCAAAATTCTGCGATTGCGTGGGTGGAAATGACTGGCAAGATGGGAGTATCTCTCCTTTGGTTTGTCTTCTATTGAGGCTTCTTTGAATTCTCTTCTATCGGGATTTTCTTCCCCAATGGCTGATTTATCTTTGCTGCTATACGGGTGTTCCTTTACGTGGATCAAAAAAATATTTGCCCACTGAAAGGCCGTGGCTGAGAGAAAACAGGATATTATAACTTAGACAAGCGAGTTCATCTTGATATTCTCTGTATCGACATTTGGAATGGAATGAATGCGTACTCTAACATCTTTGATTTAGTGCATATTTTTTTTCAAGTAGGTCTATTTCGGTACTATTGTGATGCTATGAAGCCTAATTTCCACAACTATTATCTTGGCGCCAAGTGACTCCGATCTGAGAAGAATGTGGGTATAGGTGTGGTTATTTCTAGGTGGTCTTAGGGTGGTAGTTTACCGGAATTATTACAATAACCGCTGGAAGTTAATTTAATGTCTGGATTAATTAGGAGTTTGGCATGATTAGTAATGATGTAGTTTGTTCATTCTTGGAAAGAGCATTGGCTTTGCGGTTGTGAACATTTTGTCGATGTTACTTCAGACTTGCAAGGCAGCCTAGATGAAACAGCATTTAGCTAGAATCTAAGTCTTGAATTTCTTTTTTTTCGAGATGGAACTGGCTTTAATAGGTACCATTTTCACGCCAAATTTAGATGCTGAGGATTCTGACGGCATACTGCAATCTTCTCCCTATACTACAGCAGGTCAATACGGTCGACCACCAAACAACTTTGCTTCTGGAACCGGTTTGCCAGCAGCTCAGCCACTGGAAGAGCGCAGACGAAAAAAGAAGGAGGAATTGCTCGAAGAGGCCATGGAAGCTCACCTTCCATTTGCTCAGTGGAATGGACCGACTATCGTCGCCTGGCTTGAGGTAGGTAACTGGAGAAAGAGAGACTAATTTAAGCCACAATATGTGGGAAATTTGCATAACTCCTTATTCATTCTAAAATTACCATTTATTCAATCACAAGAGGAGAAAAAAGAGGGAAGACTTCCCACACGAGCCAAGTTTTTGCCCCGTTTATTAATATGATATAAAAATTGACAGTCTGGTTAGTAAATAATTGCAATGATACTTTCTTGTGTGGTTGTGGCAGTGGTGCTACAAATTCAGGTGGGGATGTTGAAATCCAATAATCGGCAACCCAGTGCGTTAGCGACAAGTCCTATGAGTTCACTTTAATGCACTGAACACATTTGAATAGTTTTCTTAACAGAGTGAGGAAATATGGTAGAAGTAAGATGTCTACTTGAGCAAAATTTCCATATGGTAGTGATGCTATTAGACATCCTGAAGTATGTAAGCAGCTTTGAATGAAGGTTACAACAATGAGCAGGTGAGCATCCCTTTTATTAAGACACATCTTAAAAAATTGATTATTCCTCCACCCCGGTGGGTGGGGGGGGGGGGGGGGCAAATTGTATCGAAAGAGACGATATGTGGAAATCACTTTAGATCCGGTGACTTCGATGAACACATTTCACACTTCTTTTCACCTCAGTTCTTTAAGATTACTTCTGCGCAAGCTACCCTTACTAATAGGCCAAGTCTGCTCGCTACGACAAATTTCAATCTGCGTTGTACCAGGCTTCTCCCTCTCCTCTTCCCTATTTACTTTTCTGGTTTTTTTGGGTGTGGGGAGGGGGAAGGTTGTTGACACCGCTTGTTTGTCACTCCCCCCTCCCCCCGCCTGGTCGTGCCAAGTGATGATGTAGCGGACGTGTTTCATTGGGATATCTTAAATTCAATTATTACTAGTTTACTTAATTTCAATTATTCGAAATCTTTTTTTTTTCAACTAAAAGGGTTGCCTGCCAGGTTGATCTATGCAGTATAATAATTGTAAAGAAAGAATGCTTTTTTGAACCGGATTGAGGTCAACTTTAGTTCCTTGAATGTGTGATTCCTGTTTGATTAAACGACGACTGTTAAAGGGGTTTTAAGTGGAGCACACAACGCCAATCAGTTTTAATGTGCACAGTTATTCAAGGTAATGAACAAACTATTGAAGCCGACCTACTAGCAATCTGTCTTACGTCTATTGGACTTTTATATTTTATATTTATTTTATATTTTGTGCACTTTGAAACCACTCTTCCTGAGGAATTCCACACCCACTTTTGTCCAAATTTTATCGATGAGTTTTTGGTGTCATTCTGTTGATATACGCGGATGAATTTTGAAGCCGTATGGTCTCCAACTAAATAGATATGAAATGTGATGGTGGTCTGGCTTAGCATTCTCTTATTTTACGATTTAAATTATGATAATACTGTGGTATTCATAACTGCAGTGCCTCTCCACACATGAATAACTCCCTTTATGACACAAACGACCTGGGTTAGCTTTGTCTTTTCGTCACATTATTCTTTTTACTACCTACAAAAGTCCATACCAGGTTCCCGCAGGTTCTCGCTATTTTTGTGAAAAATTATTGCATTTCAACTTGAATAATGCATAGTTTAACGTTATTCATATTAGTTCACATAAACTATTTAACCCGATTAGGGTAATTTAAATAGAAATAGAAAGTAAAAGTCATTAACAATTTGATCTCCTTGAAAATGCAAGCACACGTTACAGGTGGATGTGATCCAGTTCGGATCTGCATATTGTGCGTCCTTGATCCTCTCTTATATTTTTTGGCAAATATTAATTGACCTTAATTTTGGATTCTGATTGAATAAATAAAAATAAATCCCCATTGCCCTTGTTGTTTTAGTAAAAAAACATAAAGGCGCTATATCGGAGGTGTACTGTTCCAGTATTAATACAAAGTACCTCTATTCTCTAACTAATAAGAGTATGTGCAATAGTGATTGATGATTAAAAAAATTCACCTTAGCACTACCTTTGCTTCTTGCCTCAAAAAGGGAAACAGTGCGCGATTTTTTGTCTCAATATTTGCTAAAAGCATTCACTTTACGAATTATCACGCTGGTTTATGACTATCTGAAATGAATCAATTGTAAATATTGTATAAATTGTTCTTTTTTGTAAATATTACAAGAAATCAAAGAAATTACTTGTTTTATGAATATACTGACTGGTTAGGGGGGGGGGGGGTGGAAAGCCAACGTATTTAATTCATAAAGTTGTTGAAATCATCTACATAATCTTGAGTATGTAATGGTGCTTAATTTTTGTAGTTGTGGGTAGGAATGCCGGCGTGGTATGTGGCGGCCTGTCGAGCCAACGTGAAATCCGGTGCAATAATGGCTGCCCTCTCGGAGCAAGAAATCCAACGGGAAATAGGTATTAGTAACCCCCTACATCGACTTAAACTGCGCCTAGCTATCCAAGAAATGGTAGCTTTGACTGCCCCCACCCCAACTCCTAGACCCAATACAAGGTATGTTTCTTGTTTGCAATGTACGCATAAAGAAAAATTTTACACTTGCTTTTTTTTTATAGCCGCTTGGCTTTTGGTGATATGGATCACGAATGGATAGGCAACGTTTGGCTTCCAGGTCTAGGCCTTGCACAGTACCGACCCGCCTTTATGGAATGTCTGGTTGACGCCCGAATGCTCGATCATCTCACCAAACGAGATCTACGGACACATCTAAAAATGGTAGACGCTATGCACAGAACTAGTCTTCTCTATGGAATCGTCTGCCTTAAGCGTCTTAACTACGATCGAGCTGAGTTGGAACGTAGGCAGAGAGAGAGTCTACTCCGCGATAATATCGGTTAGAATATAATATTTCTACTTATGTAATTTAAGTAGCTATGAATAGCTTACAATATTGTTTGCAATTAGACCTCCTTGTTTGGACCTGTGAACGCGTGCAAGCCTGGCTAGATCAAATCGGCCTGCGGGAATACGCAAGTCATCTAACTGGTTCTGGTGTCCATGGTGGTTTACTAGGTCTCCATACCGAAGTGGACGCCAACCAGCTTGCCCTCATATTGCAAATTCCCTCCTCGGCAACTAATGCTCGTCTCATTCTTGCCCGAGAATTAGAGACCTTGGTTCAGCGCTATCGCGCAACAGCTCCACTTGCGGCAGCTGCACTTGGACCCGCACCTCGTGTCCTTGCAATGGAAGCAGCGGCGGCTGCCGCGGCTCGACATCGTTCCTCAGACTCTGATGTTGATGGTGTAAGGGGGAATGGATATTCACAAAATGGCGATGCAGTGGACGATGAAGTAGCTGCTGTTATAAGTATCGAAAAATCTCTCCCTTCCAACACTGCCGCCAATGTACCGACAATCATCACAACCCAATCAGTAGTTAGTAGCCAACCGCATCTTCCCACCTCTGCTATTGTAAGTTAATTGTTCCTTTGCATTCACTCCATGTTCACGCATGATATTTGCTGGCCCTGATGTCGTGTTGTTAAATTTGTTTGCATTTTTCTCTAACTTTCAGAGATCTCACTGAAGATAAATGGGGTAAGATGAGAGGGTAGATTGACTAGCTAACTCTTTAATGTCTAAAATTTCCGCATTTTTTGCTTCCTTAATGGTGCGATCTGACCTTCTGCGCATGATTCATGTTTATTTGCTTGTTAATACGATTTGAGATAATTCGAACCACTCTTATTGATTGTAAAGCATGTATTCTTAAACTAATTAGACCTACTTTAGGTAGTGTGAAAGCCCGTTCTAAATATGATTTTTAAAGATTTTGATAAACATGTGAAAAGATAATAGGTTAAAAATCAATCTATTTACTGAAATCATTTCAGTAGCATGTTCTAATAATTTTCATTTTAGCTCGCCACCGCAGCTGCCCAAAAGGCAAGAGAGCTCATGGAGTCGAAATCAGATAGCCAAGCCCCAACAACAACTGTTACGGATCCTGCAACAAATTCCCCTTCAAGTACAATAACTACCGCCATCGCTACCACCGTAACGCCATCGTCACCTAGAATGGCAACGCAATCATCGGCTACTACAAGAACAAAGAAGGGTGCAGCTCCTCCCCCTCCCTCAAACACAAAATCTTAACGACAGTATCTCCATATATATATCTACTCATCAAACTCACATCAAAAATCCTAATGCATTTGTGACATCCTCTATCTACCAGTTCGTACTTATGTGATCTGAAAACCGACAGATTACATTTGATCATCTTTCACTGCCCATTCTCCTCTCTGCATGCTTGCCCTTCTCTGGTTGTATTGTAAATAAACGTAAATTTACATTCTCTCCCCCCCCCTCCCCTCCCCTCCCCACACACACACACACACGCACACTACACACACAAATACCTATATATCCCATCATGTTTGCCAGTGAAAGCTTAGCTCTTCTATCCTCAGTCATTTTGACCTGGTTAATGTGCAACACATTGGTCCCATTCTCTTCTGGTTTCTGATCTCTTCTTTTATTTACTCCGGCCCCCCCCCCCCCCCCCCCCCCCCCCCCCCTCAAACTGCCTCCATTGTAGGCCATTGAACTTGATACTCACTGATACTTTTGCTGCCCACTAATTTCCTTTTTATTAGTAACAATTTAATATAGACACATCGAAAATGCAGGCGGCACTTATTTGAAGTTGGGAAGGCGTATTGCATTTTATGAAAATATATAATAAAACTAAAGTGTTAATAAGCAAGAAAACATTATTTTTGGAAGCTTTACTTTAGGGTAGGTCTTTCGAGGTGCACATATGAATAGTTATCGTGTGGGAGTTGTAATTTTCAGATGATAGATAGTAAAATGCTCTAAACAGCATCGCCGGTAACTTGTATTCGAAGTGCACAAGTAAAAGCACAATTTTGGAATGCTTCGTTTGTTTTATTAGAGTTCATAAGTTAATTCGCGCCTTTTATAAATACAATAAGTATTTCGAGTTTGTTTTGAATAGTACCCAATATCGTACTCATATTAGCAAATCAATACACTTAAGGCGACTTTGAATGAATACTAATCGCCTCTACATGCATTGCCGAATCTTCCAGGGTGTTCGAGCGCGCATTCGATTCCATGATCCCACCATATTAGCGTTGTGCTTTCTACACTGGCACGAATTGTTACTTTTAATTGAATATTGAGTTACCTGTCTGCATTAATTAGAACTTGATAAAAATTTTTGCCAACGCGAAGTTTTTCTGAAAGAAATCTCCAGTTAAAGTTCGTGAGCAATATTCTGCCTTATAACTGTTGGGAACATTCAGAAAGTAGGTATTCGAATTCATTGAAACTTGGTACCTTCATTACAGAACTTGAAGTTTCTCTCTATTGCAAATATTCGTTTAAATTCACCTGTTATTATTATTATTATCTGGGTGTTCCGAAAGTCCGCCCAAGGCGGTTAAACGGAAAATTCGATTTCACAAAACTATTTTTGGAATCAAATAATCGCCCACCCGAATAAGCGCTCATGGGCGATAGTACATAAGTATTTCGGGAAACTCCGGTACTATACAACAAATCCATTTGTTAAGGTAATAACGGGCGAATGAATTAGACCATGATTCATTGGGCAGTGAAGAGAGAGAGATGGAGAGAGGTCTGCAAGATTGTGAGATTAACTTTTTGCTTTCTCAGATGTAGAGGAGACAGACAGACACAAATGCAGAGAAAAGGTGAGATGAGTACTGTGAAGCTGTGTAATATGACATACAGTGGGGTGATGGTAGTTTGAAGTCAGAAGTCAACTGCCGGTTAATAAACTTTTTGTCGTATGAGTATACGTTGCCCAGGTTGCACCACGTGGAGGTAAGTCTATCGCACACCCGAATTGTTCTCACTTTGATTTTCCTCCCTCTGCGAAGCCCAAAGTCAGCTAAATGGCTAATGATAAATATTCAAAACGCCTGCCATTTGAAGTAAAAATAAACTTTTGTGCTTTCTTGTTACATTAAGTTCGAACTAACTTCTGCAGTGTTGTTCAGTAAGTTATATTCATGGATACTTTCTTTGCCTCAAGTATTTTACTAGACTTGCATTTGGCGTTTATTATATGAAGGTACACACAGCCATAGATGTAAGCTATTGGAAGAATGGTTGTCCAATCGTTCTATGCCTTGAAAGCCTGTAGTGCAGTTTTAGGTTTTAACCTAAGAACACCATTATTACTGCTACTACCATTACACTTGGCTCAAAAATAAATGCACAATTTGAGGTCTGCGAATGAGCCTCTAAGGAAGTGTATAAGGAATGAGATTCCACGATAGGTTGTTTCGAAGAAATAAATGTTTGAGCTCTTTTGTAGCACTCATCTCAGGGTTTTTGTCAGTAAAATATTCTACGATGGAGCATATTAGAGGGAGGGGGGGGGGTACATATAGTTCGGACTGCTAGCTTTATAATATCATTTCAAAGTGATATTCATTAATCCTTTAACGCCCGAATTGTTATTTTTTGGAAAATGCATCTAACAGTACTCACGCGTATCTCATAGCAGACTGATGCCAACGTGATGGTGGTATCAGGCGAAGGCAATAGACGTATTGAGCGGATTTCAAACGGTAATAACGCCTTCTGCTACGAGTCTAGTACCAATGGAGCTTATTTTAAAAGAAGACCGTACGGTTTCAAGGATGTTAGAGTTAATAATGATAAAAAATTTAAAAAAATCAAAATACATTTGATAAGGCAATAAGCTTACCAAGAATTACTGAATTTTTAGAAATTATTTGTAATATTCCTTTTTTCAAATGGCAGGCTTTATGATATTTATCACTAGCCCTTAAACTTTGAGTTCAGCTTCCCCCCCCCCATGGGTGAAAGGGGGGGGGGGGTACATGTATAGCAGTTAATTAATAGCTGTTCATTAGCTGTCTTCTTGCTTCCCAGTATCTCTGGCTTTCCGTCCTTGTCTTTAGGGCTGGACATCGAATCAGGTGAGTCTTCTCCATTTCCTCCTGTAGGTCACGTAGGAGGCATATGGGTTGAGTGTATACTTCCAATCTGTGAAGGTGTTTTACCAGGCAATCGTGTCCGGTACGTAGTCTAAACTCACCAACGGCTTCGATTCTTGGCCAATCGGCTTTGTCGGAGAGTGCCACTGCCCACTGTTTCACCTCTGTTAGAGCTTTAAGTTCGTTGCACCTTGAAGTCTGGAATTCTCT